ACGGGATGAAGTATTACGGAACGAGTAAAGAGACTGCCGGTAACGAGATTGAACTAGGTACGATAATACCGATGATCGAATCTCGGGCAAGTAACATACCGATGACAAAGGGAACAACGTATGTTGTTATGCGGTTTGACCGATAAAGATCTTTGCAGAATATGTAGGAGCCAATATGAGCATCCAGGTTCCGCTATTGGTTATTAACCGGAGATGTGTCTCGGTCATGTCTACATAGTTCTCGAACCCGTAGGGTCCGAACGCTTAACGTTCGATGACGAGTTATGTGTTTTGATGACCGAAGTTTGTTAGGAGTCCCGGATGAGATCACGGACATGACGAGGAGTCTCGAAATTGTCGAGAGATAAAGATTCATATATTGGAAGGCTACATTCGGACAACGGAATGGTTCAGGTCGTTTCGATAAGTTTCAGAGTACCGGGGGTTACCAGAACCCCCTCCGGGAAGTTATTGGGCCTCATGGGCCTTAGTGGAGAAGAGAGAGGGCCGGCCAATAGGTGGCGCACGCCCCCTTTCCCCAATCCGAATTGGAAAAGGGGAGGGGGTGGCGCCCCCCTCCTTCCTTCTCTCCTCCTCCTCCTTCCCCCTTCTCCAACTTGGAATAGGAAGGGGGGGGGGCGAATCCTACTAGGTTTGGAGTCCTAGTAGGACCCCCCCCCCCATGGCGCGCCTCCCCTCTTGGCCTCCTGCTCTTCCTCCTTTATATACATGGCCAAGGGGCACCCCATAGACACACAAGTTAATCTTTTAGCCGTGTGCGGTGCCTCCCTCCACAGTTACACACATATCGTCGTAGTGCTTAGGCGAAGCCCTGTGCCGGTAACTTCATCATCACCATCACCACGCCGTCGTGCCGAAGAAACTCTCCCTCAGCCTCAACCGGATCAAGAGTACGAGGGACGTCATCAAGCTGAACATGTGCTGAACGCGGAGGTGCCGTACATTCGGTACTTGGATCGGTTGGATCACGAAGACTTTCAACTACATCAACCGCGTTAACTAACGCTTCCGCTTTTGGTCTATGAGGGTACGTGGACACACTCTCCCCTCTCGTTGCTACGCATCACCTAGATAGATCTTGCGTGATTGTAGGGAAAATTTTAAAATTACCGCGTTCCCCAACAGTAACAGGTGCTTTCGATACCAGCATGGGCGTCAATGGAATGCTACACCCTTGCTTTCTTTATGGGAGTGCTCTTTGGCCTTAATGTATGGTGATCGGTTCCAAAGGTTCATCGGAGACAAGGGTAACCGGCTGACACTAACTCAAGAATGAATAACATCTCCTTCAACAACTAGGATTGCTTCACGATGTGGTATGCTCGGGTCGCTCTTTTCTATATCAAACAACAGCATAAGTGGACCAAAAGTCCAGCATGTTGCATGGAAACTATCCTTCAAGTATCCTTAGTCAAAGGATGCAAAGTTGATCAACTTCTTTGGCCCTTAAATTGCTTGCTTGCCCAAAAAAATAATTTTAAGGAAAAAAATCACGTAACACCTCATCCCAACTAATGCCTAGTCAATCTCTACCTGCTAATAAAGGGAGGTGATATTTTTATTGAAAACCCCCCAACTTCTCTAGGAATCAACCCACATTCATGCATGTCTGGGCAATTCAATCGCGTGTCTAAAATTTTAGCATGTCACTTCGCAGCCCTCGGCCATCTATCTGTTTGTTTGTCGCGTGTCCATGCAAATCTCGACTCCCACTGAAAAAAGAAAGTCTCATGCAACTCTGGAATCAATCTCGGGGGATAATAAGGTATAAAGGAAAGCTAATCCACTAAGGGCATCTCCAACACTGACACTTAAACCGGACACCGCATCCGTCCACGGACCAGTGGGGACTAGTTCACGGACACTAATGTGAGAGCCGGCCATCCAATGGTATCCAAAACATTCGCCTCTTTTTTTCAAAGCCCGCAAGCTCAAAATAACTGTATATCAAAACGTAGTTTATCTAAAAAATGTTCAAATGCGATAGTAGTTCTAATTTAAATAGTGCAATCTAACGAAGTTTGCAAATTAAAGTAGTTCAAACTTGAATTCAACTAGCACATATGAACTAGTTGCCCCCTTTAACCGCCCAGAAATGCTCAATCAAATTTTCCTTTTGTTGCTCATGAGTTGCTAGATGCCAAATTTGTTGATGCATTTGAACATACTCATACAAACGTGGCCAGATTCTGATCTAAAAGTTCGATTGGATCACCATGTTCTCAAATTCAAGACCGAGGCAGCATCCCCATCCTCATCCTCCACGATCATGTTGTGCATGATCAGGCAACATGTCATCGCCTCCCGTAAGGTCTTTGGATCCATTGTTTAGCACCTCAATGTTCAACACACTTTATGTTAAGAAGTGGATGCCTTCAACTGAGTGCTCCGCCTTTTGAATCAGCTCTTCCATCTTATCGCCTACAATTGAAATCTTCTTTCTCGTGACCACATCGAGTGAATCAGTGGGCTTTTCTTCTAGTAGGTTCCCTTGTTCATCATAATCATTCTCCCTGCAAAGGTAAAAAGATGGTTAGACATTATGATTTCGGAGTAACAATAAAAAATCAGTGGGCATGCATTATTATTATTTTATCTTTTGCACCTTTTCCGCCATCTTTTCATAATGTAGTATTTGGAAAGCTCATTTTGGTTCTCAATCCTCAACACTTGGATAATATGTCGACATGGAATACCGAGTGACTCAAATAACTCTCAATCCTCAACACTTAAACAATTCACTACCATGGTTGTAGTCTCATAGTAGACATCTCTAACCTTACCAGACCGACCTCTCGGGGTCACATTTTTTTTACCCCCACGCCTTGTGTAATACCCTGAACACAACAATGGTCTCTAGCAGTAATGACTTGTAGCCGAAATTTCTTAAACACCTCATACGTGAATACCTCACTACCTTGTTTCTCCATTGGCCATGGCGTAAAGAGTCGTGGGGTGGTATGTATGCTTCTATTATCTGCCATTAATTCTTCCTAGCGCTGGCATTCTAAAGCTGTGTCGAATCTAAGCCAAAACTCAACAAAAGCGAGCCTTCGATGAATGAAACGATTAAAAAAATAATTTGCACTTTCTGACCTTGAAGTGGTTCGGAGAATGCCCGCTAGAGATATATCCATAAAGTAGGCCGGTATCCACTTATCTCGGATGCTAAAACTCTTAGCCAACGACTCATTTTCCTCCAACCCAAAATCTTTAATGATGGAATTCCATTGTGACTCAAACTTAGTTGGAGTTTCTGAACCCCAAACACATGAGTTCAATCTTGTCCAAAATTTAGAATCTTCTCTAATCAAAGGTCCAACCTTTTCGGGCACATTTTCCATTATATGCCACATGCACAACCTATGCACAGTGGTTGGAAGAACTTCATCAATACCATTCTTGATGCTAGCGGCTTCATTGGTTATGATGGGTGTAGGTGCTACCCCTCCCATTGCTCTTAGGAGAGTCTGAAATAAAATGTACGATTCATTCTTCTCATCTGCTAAGAATCCGACACAAAAAAAATACACTTTTGTAAGTGATGACTGACCTCTGTAAATGGTGCAAATATCATGTTGTACTGATTAGTGGTGTATGTAGAATCAAAGGATAGCACATCACCAAAGTGACTATAGTTCTTCCTACTTGTGGCATGGGCCCAGAACACATGCATCAACTTCCCCCCATCATCCACATCAAAATCATAGAAAAATGCTGAATTCACTTCCTGCTTTCTAGCTAGTTGGGCCACAAACATTTGAGCATCTGCATCTCTGATTCTATACCGGAGTCCGCGGCAGTAATTCTGCAAGTTCCTCTTCTTGCACCCAACATTCAGAATCCCACCCCCACTAACTTGTAGTAGCCTGTATGCATGGGAGGTTCCAATGCTTGCCTCATGACATGTACTCCCTCCGTCCGGAAATACTTGTCGAAGAGATGCATAAAAATGAATGTATCTAAAACTAAAATATATCTAGATACATCCATTCCTCCGACGAGTATTTCCGGACGGAGGGAGTATATAGAGTATCCTTTGCCATCTCACTAACCCTACGATCCGATCTGATCAAATGAAGCTTATTAGGTGATACAAGACCAAGGACATGGTGCTCGACCCATGAGTCTATCTTGTAGGTGTTATCCCCACAAAGGCTAACAAAGATATGGGCATCACAACCGCATCGTGTGCATGTCTACTTACGCCTTTTCCTCAAGGGGGGCACCAGTCTCCTTAGTATCTTTGACTTGAATCCTTCCTTATCACACATAAAGCGCTTAGTTCGGACCATCTTATTGTCAGTCTTCTTCTACTGTCCGATACAGACTCCAAAGCCCGATTGATGCGCATATGCCTTGTAGAACTTCTCCACGGCCTCGAGTCCCTCTAATGCCATACCTACGTTAGGCTTCAAATGCTCATCACATTCAGGTGTAAAAGACATACACTGCAATGTAAAGAAGAAACCATGATACACACATTCATGCATAGCTCATTGAATTAAATAGTTTCAGTTGTTAGTGAAAACCGAACTTACAGAGAGAGAGAGGTATGTTTGTGTACCAAATCCTCCCTCGGACATGTGCATTTGCAGTCATGGATTGGTGTAAGATTACTAGTGCAAAATCTGTTAAGACGCACGATTTCGATCGTGGGGCTGAGAGCAAAGGGACGGGCACACGGATACAGTATACGGGACGGATTCACAAGATATGTTGCCTTTATGAACGGGACGTAAACCAGAAAGAAAAACTCGCTCTTTCATAGCGCGCACCTGAACGCACGCACACGAGTTCCGCTGAAACGCGCCGCCGTTGTTCCCCCGCGCGGTTAGCCGCCCGACGGCGCGCCGTTTCCCCCCTGCCCAGATCTTCCGCCCTTCCGCCCCTCTGCTCCGAAATCGACGCCGGCCTCCACCGCCCGCCCGCCCGCCCATCTGCTCCGGCACCTCCTCTGTGCAGCCCGGCGCGGCCAGATGGAGGCGGCGGCGGCCGGAAGGGGCCTGGACCTGGCCGGCCCGCTCCGCGACCTCCTCCCGCCGGTGGACTTCTGCTGCGCGTACGGCTCCACCCTCACCCACGCCCGCCCCGACGCCACCTCCATGGTCGACTACATCCTCGGCGTCGCCGACCCCCTCCAGTGGCACTCCGAGGTACACCCGGACGGCAAAGTCCCTTCCTTTCTGCATCACGCTCTTCTCTGTAGCTTATCCTGTCTGACGTTCCTCTCTCTGTTTTGTTTGACATGGTTGGGTTGCAGAACTTGGCGAGGAACCCCACGCATTACTCTAGCTGGATGGCGCGCCGTGGCCCCGAATCCGTACGCACGCTCCCATTTATCCCCAAACATATCATTTGCTTGGTGTCCTCGTTAATTGGCCGGCTTGCTAACTGTTCCATTGGTTGCTTCTTGGTGGTGGCCAACTGGAACCTCAGGTCACTTGGCTCGCAGATCGTGTCGGTGTCGGGGTGTACTTTAATCCCTTTGTCGAGTGGGGAGACAAGGTAACCGATTACCTTCACGCGTATCGTGTTTGATTGTATTGCGGTGTATTTTGGTTAATGTGAATGTGCATTGAGCTCCGAGTGACAAGTTGTTGCTTTGTGGATGTAGAGGATCAAGTATGGGGTCGTAGCGATGAAGGACCTGGCGACGGATATCTTGACCTGGGACCAGTTCTACCTAAGTGGCCGACTGCAGAAACCTGTACGTATATCCTCTTCTTGTTTGCCACCGGAACATGATTCAGTATATCTACGATTATGCCATAACTCTCTGTTTGCCTGGTCTGGATACTTTCACTGTGACTACTTCAGTTTACTTGTGAATCGTGATGCAACTTCACTTCCTCTATATCGTTTGACATATGTTTCCTGTTAGAAATTTAACTATCTGAGTATCTTTTTGCTGTTTTGTTTATACAGGTTCGTGTTCTTGTCGATAACTGGGATATAAGGAAAGTTAACACAGTTAATCTGAAAATGGCAGCTGCAGCTTCTCTGCTTCTTTTGCCAGAAGAATTCACTGAGGTTTGGTGTCAACTTCGGTTTGATGTTTACTACCATGAATTATTTGGTTACTTCTGTATTTGTTTTGATCTTTCTTTTCTTGACCCCTTTTTGTGCAGTATGACCTATACGCAAAAATTTGCAGCCTATCTTATATGGGTGACATAAGGATGTTATTTGCCGAAGACAAATATAAGGTAATGAAAACGCATGTCGGCCTTTGTATAGGCCCTCAAGTTATTTAAAATTCAGTTTAGAATGGTGATCCTGCTAGTTGGCGTGTACAAAAGCCAGCTCACACTATGTACTTTGAAATGTGAAAATGGCATGCATGCTATATCTTTTGCAAACTGAACCACAACAGAATCTGTTATAGCATAGGGCACATTATGTATGTACCTTTGTGGCTCCATCGTTCCAAGTGTGTCTATGGCACATGCGTATGGTGCCTTTACTGCACCATACTCAATAGTATGATAACTATCCACTTAAGATAGTAAAATATGTTAATTGAACTTCTGTTTATGACTAACGAAATTCTCGTGCGTTTGCACTTAGTTATCACAGTACTTGTTTATATTGTATCTGTTGTTTAAATGCTTGTGTCATCATAGTCTCTAACTTTGTTCAAGATAAAAATATTATCTCGAAATATTTGTCAATTGAACCAACCATTCAGGATGGACAACAACTATGTTATACGGTGTACTTCCTAATAATTTGAGAGGTGATCTCAGTGAGGATGAACCAACGGCCACCAACTCAGACCTCTATAATTCTGCTTATGATTTGGTGCTTATGTGGACTCTGCTGTAATTCAGGTCAAGAAGATTGTGGACGGTAGTTTCCAGCCATTTCAATCGATGTACAGACCCCTGATACATGAGTATATTTCTGAAGGGATACTGAAGATGTCAGATTACAGACAACAAAAGGCTTTCAAGCAGGTTTTATTTCTTTTTCCTCACACATGCACTGTCAAATGCATCATTGATAGCCTACTAAGATGTTTGATAAACCTTGATGATAGCAACATCACGTAGTTAGAGTTGCTGATTGGGTACCTCGTTATCCACGCACATGCTTTGCATATATCTGTTGTAAGACGATAACATTCAATGTATTCTGAACTGTTGGCCTTGTAGTCCCCTGGAACACACAAATAAGATTAGCTCTATCAAGTCTACACCTCAACAAACTGGAAATTGTCCGCAAGGTTCACCGCTGTCAAAATTCATAAGCACAACACTACAATTGAGAGCCAGGCCTAACCAAAACAACAGGGTAAAGAATCTATGGACATGCCAACTACACGGTACTTAGAAGTCATTCAATCTCGAGAGTTGTGTAGTTCCAATGATGCCATATACTGCTATCTAATACCGACTTCTATAAATGCGATTTGAAAAATGCCCTGCTGACTAGAGTTTTTCATCATACTATACTTATTATATGCTAAATGCATCAACCACAAAATTATATTTTCTTAAAATATGCAGACACTTACAAATATATTAACAAACAAGGAAGGTAAATCAGTAGTGGCACTATAGGCTAAAAATAAATAAATTATCGGTTCAAACATGGTTTAAGGTACCACTTAAACAAATGGCTCTAGGACAGACGGGGCAGTATTAACTGATCAAGGGAACTACTGGTTGTATAATTGTCTGTACTCGGTAGAAAATGGCATCAATCACAAACAATCAACACTAGGGCAAACAATGAGAATACTTGCTACAGATGGTTCGAAACTTTTAATCTTTGTGTGTACTTGGTATGAACCGGCATAGATCACAAACAAAACATCACGTGTGTGCATGCAAATGTGCTTATGTGCGTCTCTTGAACATGTTGATAATCAAAGATATATTTGCAGGACTGTGGTGTATCTGCAACGAACGAACTGTTTTCTTCTCTCCCGCGTATGATCCAAAGGAGACTGCAGGGAAGATTCACATCGAATAGCACAGGTACTGATGTTTTCCGCCCAGATCCATTCATATTCGTGCTGCCGATTCCTGCAACACAATCCTAATGATTGGTTTTCTCCCTAGAAATACCGACTCACACACCGACCCGCACGTTGGTTCCATCGAAAGAGGTGGCAGCGGCATCCGTCCGCACGGCTCTTAGGCGCCGCGTAATGGTTTCGAGCGCACGGCAAGCAGCTTGCGGGCTGCTCGCCGCTGGCGGCATGGTCGCCGCGCGGTACCTGGGGAAGAAAATGTCCAAGGCCTTGAGCACCCGATGTTTGACGTTTTTCTAGTTATTATACATACGGAAGGCGTGGCTTCCCCTAGTTTAACATGCAGGATATGTTTGTTGTAGACTTAAAAGAGTGTGCTGGTGGGTTGAATCAAAGGTTGGAAGCCTGGTGACCCACAACGTTCTATGAAAATCGTGTGGAATTTCATGGGGGAGTCAATTTTGCCGGATCATTCCGGAGTAACGTCTGGTGCTGCTGAACAATACTAACCGTTAGCATACATAGAAAGTTACATGGCACTCTGTCCTTTGTTGAATGTTGTATACTTTTTTTTTGGGACGTCATGCGGTGCCATATGGTTGTACTTGCAGCAAATTCTACATGCAGATAGTTACTGCTCCAAGAACCTCCTCTGATTTCCTTGTGGCTGGAACACGGCAACATTGTGTTGTTTTTGTTTTTCTGTCGAGCTGAATGTTGATGCTTTTATATATAGCCTAAAAAAGCTTGTTTTCCTCTGTTGCTCCATTCAGTGCATATCATTTCATGGTTAATCCTTACTACGCATCTTCACGCATTATGCAGAAAAAAAAGACGTGCATTTCTAATCAATCATTCAGAATGGATAACAACAATGGTAAATTTCCTAACAACCTGAGAGGTCACCTCCGTGAGGATGGACACATATATCTGTTGCAAGACGATGGCATTCCATGCATTCTGAACTCATCAGACACATACTGGTAACCATCAGCAATGCATCTCAAGCAGTTCGCTCTTTTCGAATGTTGTGGTTTCATTTTAAGATGTCATGGGGTGCTTTATGGCTGGACTTGCACCAAATTCTTGTTGATAAGGTCTGATATTACAAACCATCCCCATCCCCATTTATATTACCAACAAGATCACAGTATTGCAAACCATCCATTACAAGCACGTGAAGGCAAGCATCAACACTGCCTCGGCAAAACAGAGTACAAAAGCTAGTGAAAAACTTGAGGGAACACCCAAAAGAGCAACACAACTCCTCAAGGGGTGATGCTTTCTACTCCCTCTGTCCTAAAATATAAGAACGTTTTTGACATTTTGCTACAAATGAAAATGTTTTTATATTTTGGGACAGAGGGAGTACTTTTTAGTTCCCAGAGAGCACTTCAGATGTACGAAGGGTAGCAGGGGTCGATCTCTTGCCATAATCTACAGCCGTAGTGGCTGGAGTGTTCCAACAACAAATTAGAAAATAAAACAATAAACAACCAACCACGCTCTTTAGATAATTGTGTGAAGGTAATTGTAGCATCTCTTTGCAGCCAATCAACACAGATAAGAGGCTCACATGGTCGACAACCAACCGAGAACACAACAGATATCAAACACGCATGGCAAGAAGAAAGACGTTGCACCGCACAGATACCCCACATCATAATTGCAAGGGCCAGCCAAATATTTCTATTTAAGGGTCAAAGGCCAAACATGTTCTCGATATTGATTGAGTTGGAGGGAGTGAGAGACTACCATGGAATCCTATCTCATTTAAGCCCTTCAGTAAAAACAGTTCTCCAGAAATTGATTTATAGGTGGGGACAATGGCCCCCTCAGCTTAACCCATAGCACCGTTGATGAAGCAGAGGAACAACTTCAGAATTTTTTAATGGAAGTTTTGCCATTTGTTTAGACGTTGAATGTAGTATTTATGGGGTGTAGACATCGGTGTACACGCTGAGTTAGGCTTTGAGCTGAAGTATAAACTATATGATGCTGGGCTAAAACCTAATCTTCTATTTCTATGGGCTTCAGTGTTGAAGTATTTAGGTTGGAAAAATTAATACAATTCTCCCTCTGTCCCATATAATATAGCACAATGATTTTGTGGAAGTCAAACATAACAAAGTTTGACCAAGTTTATAGAAAACATTATCTATATATATAATACTCCATGTGTTCACAAATATAAGATGTTATAACTTTTTTCAGAATCGGAAGTATATAGACATGTTTTAGTGTGATTTTTCACTTATTTAGTTTGTATATAGTCCATATTGAAATATCCAAAGAGTTAATTACACTTTTGATACATAAACTTGCACTGGATGTACAGTTTCATACATAAACTTGAAAAATGATACAAATTAACCCTACAACTTGTGTTTTCGGTACATTTTAATACATTTCCGTCCGTTGCCGTTTACTCTTCGTTAACTCTGCATGCAACCTGACCCACAATCGATACAAAAAGTATTACATGGCATCAGGATTCAAACTCAACACTCTGCCATTCACGATAGGGAGCCACCGCACAGCTACACCACTGCTATTCTTTGTTACTGTTGTAGATAGACAATCTCTTTTATATGACTAGAAAATAATTGATTTGAAGTCAAAATAGAGGCTGCACAAGAGTTTGAACAGGATATCCCCCCCCCCCCCTTTTGATTTAATTCCGGGAGGGACCTGAAAACCGGTTTCCGATAAACTAGGAATTTCTGGTATTTTTCTGTTCGAAATTTTCAAACAAATACCGAATTTGAATATTGTTTTCGTGTAAACATATATTCCACTTTTAACCGCAAATATGGCAAACTATGTCTCCTGTTGTACTGGTCGTCTTGACTTGTTTTAATCAGAGAGGGGTGCTGATTCAAGGCATCGCTAAGGCACCTTGTCCAAAAAATTTTTAAAGCATTGAATATAATAGTAAAAAGGTTCAGTTTTTGCAAGATGGTTCATGCGCCTTATCACTTGAAAGATGGTTCATGCGCCCTCCGACGATGCTAGACATCAGTGACGGACCTAGCCCACTGGGCCAGGGTGGGCCAGCAGTGTACTGTATATATACACTTATTTTGTTCTTTTTATTTTTTAGCTTTTCTCTTATGGTATGAATGTTGTTTTCAAATCTCAGGGTGGGCCATGGGCCACCCTGGCCACCCTCTACCTCCGCCACTGCTAGACACACCATTCGGACGGGGGCTAAGCGCGGAGAACCTTATTCCACCTTCAAGAATTTAAAGTATTTGTATTTTTTTCTCTCTCCAAAACCTAGGGAAAACCGGGAGAAAGCCAAGAAGCTGAAAAAACAAAAAAACCATCTAAAACCCAAGAACGCATATAAAAAATAACAAAATCCTAAGGAAGCACCTAGCATGCAACACGTGACGGCTGGACGCATCACTTGGCACGCTCTCAGCCTACCAGAGTGACCCTTATGGGGCTCCCGCATGGGGTACCCTTTGACTGGTTGCTCTCTGCGAGTGCTCGTTCCATCTCGCTAGATGCTTTGTCCCAGCGTTGTAGCTCTAGGTCGCCCATTTACGTCTGCTTTTCCGGTGCGCTGGGTTTCGTCCAGTTTGCTCTATTTCGTTAGTGGTTTTCTTCTGTTTATTTTCTGTCTGGGTTTCTTCTCTGGTTTTCATGGTTGGGTTCGGCTTTTTTGTCTTATTGTGTTGTTTTGTATTTTCTTTGGGCTTTTTATTCTTTACCATTTTTCTTGTTTCCTTTTTTTTCCTTTTTGGTTTTCTTTTATTTCTTCCTTGCCTTTTCTTTTTTTGCACTGTTTTTCTTTGGTTTTCTTGTTTTCTTTTTCTCTTCGGTTTTCCTTTGTTAGTTTCTTCTATTTTTTCTTTTCTTTTCTACTTTTCATCATTTTTTGTTTCATTCTTAGTCTCCATCTCCACTACTAATAAAAGAGCAAACATTATCTTTGCTAAACGCACCCCACAAAACATACACGGACCCAATACTACCACAGGATTATCCCCACTTATCTAAATCCAACGGCTAGCCTTCACCTGATATGTTTTCTGGTGTGCACTTACTAATTTATGTTGACTGACCATACTCCACCGCGGAGGAAAACTTCCATGCGAAAGCAAACACAATCCCTACAATCACGTAGGTCTTCCAAACAAATTCAAACACGTATCCCCCATTACCACAAATAATAATAGACCTTCCAAATCCAAAAACAAGAAACACACCCCACGGATATCCCCTCGCCGCTCAGAAACATCATCGCCTTCGCCTTCCTGGACGGCGACCTCGCCGCACGAAAACACCGCCGCCGCCTTCCCTGGCCGCCCTCCACTGGCCATTACATGCGCGGCTGCTCCCCCTCACCTTCGCTGCAAACAGGTGGTAGGTTCCTTGCATCACCTGTGCCATCCTCTGAAAATATCAGGCAAGATTTTAATATTAGACATTTCTTCTTGTTCTTGCAAATTATCTTCTAACTTCCTTTTGCTTTAAGAAAATGAAATCTACAGATTTATGACAACATAACTTGAATCTAATTCTGACTAATATATGCTTCCAGTCAACCCTCTTGACAGATTTTTTACTGGAGTATTCAGTCTACGAAGTCGATGTTATGACTTCTCCAAATCACTCGGGGGCACGCACCCCATTTCAGGATATAAGCAACATCCATTCCTCAGGTAACTATCAGCCAACTGAGCGCTTCTTTTTTTCTGGGTTCATGAATGTGCTAATTTCCATTGTATATTTAAATAGACCCTAAAGAAATTAAGAGGCAGAGGGACAGAGAATATTATGCACGAAACAGAGAGGACATTCTGAAAAGACGTCGTGAGGCACGTTTAAAGAAGCAGACTGATAAACCTCTGCCGAATGATGAGCAAAATGTGCCACACACACCCCTAGCCATGTCCCATGGTAAGTATGGCCATATACTGCATGCTTATGTATTATTCACGTAACTTATGATACTCTAAATCATACATGTAGACCCTACGGAGCTGAAGAGGCGACTGGATAGGGAACGGTATTCACAAAATAGAGACGAAATATTAAAGAGACAACGTCAGGCCTACAGAAACAAAAAAATGGCTGACGCTTCCGCTGATATCAGTGTCCATGAAAATGAAACACAAACACCGATGTCCATACCCATTGGTAATGACGATCAACCAACTACATACAACCCTATTTGTTGATACTAACTAGCTTTCTCATCTATGTAGACCCTAAAGACATACGGAGGCAAAGGGACAGGGAGCGGTATGCACAAAATAGGGATGAGATATTAAAATGACAACGCCTAT